ATTGTCATTCACCTCCACCACTATAAAACTTGAGAGCTACACAAGATTGTTTTATCATTGATGGTTTTGTGGACACAACCTACTTTCTTAGCTCTTACATAAATAATACATTTTATTCATATAATTAGAATCATTCGTCAATGAATTATACCTTTTTTAATGCGAGTTAACTGGTTGATTTTTTTTTACTGCAATTATATTATTGAGATCATTTCATAATGTTTAAAATTCTCTTTATAAATAGATGTTGTTTGTTGATTAATTTCATTGAATAAATAATAAATACAATATTGTATAAATAAATGATCCTCTTTTAATGGTGGTACAAAACTCTCTCTCACACTCTCTTACTCACTCTCACTCTCACTTACACGCACATCAACTTCTAGCCCATTCTAGAATGTTTATAATTTTAAACCTTGTTGACCCATAGTTGTAATTTATAGAATTTCTTTATTCTTAGAAAATGTATGAATTAGGATGGTTTTTTATTAAAATAGCTTAACTATTTAAATTAAAATTAATTAGTGGACATGTCAATTGGATGTTAAGTCAATGCATCCAATATAGTTTTACTGACATTAAAATTAATTTGAAATTAATGCAATATAAAGTATGATAAACTCAAAATAAATTTTACAATTATAAAATCATTTTGACATATAGAGAAATTTTTAAACCAAATTTTCTTTTGCAAAAACTCATTTTCTTCCTAATTAAGCATTTAAGGTCTAATTATAGTTATTTTTGTTAAACTCAATTTAATCTGCAGTTTTCAAAGTCTTACGCACTAAGAAATATTTAAATCCTTTGCGGAGCCGCCTATTCTTTTTGATAAAAATATGTTAAAACTCAACTCAAACAATTAAAGGGGGATTATTACACTATAAAGAGTGGTGATAATCTTGGCCTAACTTTCACTACAAGAATCATATATATATTTTTATATATAAGGGGTGTTTACATTTGTACCACATAACTATTATGTTTTTACATATCTAACTTCTAAACTTTGCTTTCTACATTTATATAACTCAAAATATACATTTTCTTGCATATGTGAGGTGGCATGTACGTAAAAATTAATGTTTAGATGTGCAAAAATACCAAAGAATTGAGTGATAGGCATGCATATCTTTGTATGTGTGTGTGTGTGTGTGTGTGTGTGTATAAAATGTAAAGTTCAAGTGTTAGATGTGTAAATACATAGGAATTATGCCGAATGTACGTAAATGCCCCCAAAAAATTTTGATCCTAACTTTACAAGTCAATAAAGAAAAAAAGAAAGAGGAATCCGACATGCACTAAAAATTAAATTAAACATCAATTAATTGATATTAAGCCTCAATAAGCTTGGTATGCAACATTCCTCGGGCACTAATTATTTTTAATGCTTAATTATAGCTCTCTAGTCTTCTAGATAAAAGTGGATTAGCAACTTAATTTTAGCTTTAATGACAATTAATTATTCACTAAATGATAGTGCAGAAAAGAAGCATTATCAAAAAGGAATAATTGCCACTGCAAATCAGGCCTAATTAGAACAAATCCTGGCATAACTACAAAGAATCTCCCCCATCAAAAGTCTTTATGACATGTATTGTTTGATTTAAGAGCTTGCACTTCTAATAATTACATAATTTAATTTTTTTTTCACTCAAATAGCTTAAATTGTTGTGCATAGTTAGATTATCATTCTCTTTCTATGATGATAGAAGTATATATTCATTTATCCAAGAAAATTATATGCATAATCAAATCAAATTGAGTTCATTTTTTAATGTTCTCACCAGTTTGAGATTTATGTAATTATGCATTAAGTTTTATGTATGTATTTATGATTTTTTATTATATATTAAAAGTCCAAATAATATATTATTTTTTTTAATAGTTTAGAGCTATTAATTGAAATTTCATCTATTTTTTAAATTCACCCTCAAATATCAAAATTTATGATGAAACCTCAACACATATTTTTTATTTGTATCAAATTGTGAATGTTTAAGTCTTGACACACATAAAATTATCGGGTGCGTTGTTCAAAAATCGCTTGGATGTTTGCTTTGTAAATATCAATGTTTAGGTTGCTCTCTCTCTCTCTCTCTCTCTCTCTCTCTCTCTCTATATATATATATATATATATATATATGTTGGAAAAATCTTGGCCCGTCAAGAATCCTTTCAAGAAATTCCAAGAACATCTGAAAGAAAACCTTCCAAAGAAATCTAGTGGATTGAGTTAGATGGTAGAGAACTGAATATCAGAATTGTCAAATAAAATTTGTTGCACTCCCAAGAACCGAAGGACTGTAGCCTAGAAACTTTGACTGCCGTGGAACACCTTGCTGCGGCCAACAAGAATAGGATTGTTGAACTTCTTGCTGCAGGCCAACAAGAGCCTCTCCTGGACTATTCTTGCCGAATAAGCACCTGCAACTAGGAAGAAAATATAAGTGTCGAGTTCCCTTGCAGAACTTCTAGACGCCTCTTCCTCCCTGCTGCGGTTCTTGGATGTCGAAGGAGGTGGAGACAGCAACAAGCAAGAAATAGGGAAAAATTGAAAGAAAAGTGCAAGAAATCAAATGCAACAAGGAACAAGAACGCAAACACAAGAAGATTTACGTGGTTCGGTCCTTTGACCTACATCCACGGAGGGAATCACTACCAAAATTCACTTGCAAAAAAGAAACTTGCAGAAAAGAAAAATTACAGGCTCATTACATCGAGGAATCACAAAGTCTCTCTAGATCTCTCTCTCTCTACAAGACCTCTCCCTCAATTCTAAAGCTTCTCCAAGAGCTTCCTCTCCTTGTTGGATTTTCCTCCTCCTCTCCAATCCTTGAGCATAATTATCTTTTCTCCTTGTGATCATACCATCCCTCAAGACCCCTCATCTATTTATAGATAAATGAGGCCTTCCAAGAGGCATGAAAAATTACAAGTGTGTCATTTATGTCATAATTAAGAGTCATGAATAAATAATAATATATATATATATATATATTTAGGGTTAAATTAAAATGCAATGAGCTCTCCCCACTCACATCCACCATCCCTTCCATTTTCTTAAAGGCGATTCCCATTAAGCGGGCAAGAATATCTATTCTTCTATCGCTTTCAATTCCAGCCAGTTGGCGACCCGCATTGCTTGCGGCTTGCGAGCACATCGTTACGGGCACCGAACAAAGGGACCCATATATTTAACCAGAAAGGATGATAGATTCTGGAAAAAGACTTTCTGGGGTGGGGGAAATAGAAAGGCAAATCTGCTTCGGAACTTACTTATCCTTACCCCTTTTGGGAGTCCGAAGCCTTCTTTGCGGGAACAGCGCCAGGTGATGTTCTTTAAAGGTCATAAGTTTGAGTCGAAGGTTAAATTTATAATTATAATTATAATTCTGTATACATTGGCAAATCGATAATTAATTATGATAAAATATATATCTATGGTTATAGTATGAATTTT